AGTTTTACTCACTTTCATGTATTTTTGATTAACCCTAAATCCATACAGCAGTAATCATCTACAAGTCCAAGTCCAAGAGGAACCAGGATCAATTCAAAAACAGCTCATGAACATTTGTTGCGTCCTTGTATTGTTTAAATCGACAAAATAAATACTATTCTAACAGATACATGTACTTAAAACTATTATATTTTAACTATAACTGGTCTTTTTTTGTTTCTTTTGGGATGTAGAAGTTGAAGAGTAAGTGTGAAGTGGACGTGTGCGTTTGGTCCAGACAGAGACTCTCAAAAAGACGCCTCCTCTCCCCCAATAACCGCATCATGGAGCTTTCATAGTAACGTGAGCCTCTGGTCAAACACACAACAGCACAGCACACACAGCACTGTTCACCACACTCTGCACCTCCTCCTCCGCTCCTCCTCCTCTGTACCGTCTCTACTCCTCTTCCCCAATAACCACATTATGCTTTCGTAGTAACATGAGTCTCTGGTCAAACAAGAGCACAGCACACACAGCACTAATCACCACACTCTGCACCTCCTCCTGCTCCCCCTCCTCTGCTGCTCCACCTCCTCTGTACCTACTCTGCACCTCCTCTGCTCCTCCTCCTCTGTACCTACTCTGGTCCTACTCCTTTTGCTCCTTCCCCTCTTGAGCCATTCTGCTTCTCCTCCTGTTCCTCCTCCTCTGTACCAACTCCTTCTGCTCCTCTCCTCCTGTTCCTCCTCTTCTGTACCAACTCCTTCTGCTCCTCTCCTCCTGTTCCTCCGCCTCTGTAACTACTCTTCTCCCCTGCTTCTCCTCCTGTTCCTCCTCTGTACCTACTCTGGTCCGACTCATTCTGCTCCTTCCCCACTTGAGCCATTCTGCTTCTCCTCCTCTGTACCTCCTCTTCAGCCTACCCTGCGTCTCCTCCTGTTCCTCCTCCTCTGTACCTACTCCTTCTGCTCCTATCCTCCTGTTCCACCTCCTCTGTAACTACTCTGGTCCTATTCCTTCGGCTCCACCTCCTCTGTACCTACCCTGCTTCTCCTCCTGCTCCTCCGCTGTATCTCCTCTTCAGTACCTACTCTGCTTCTCCTCCTGTTCCTCCTCCTCTGTACCTACTCCTTCTGCTCCTCTCCTCCTGTTCCTCCGCCTCTGTAACTACATTGGTCCTCCTTCTTCCCCTCTGCTTCTCCTCCTGTTCCTCCTCTGTACCTACTCTGGTCCGACTCCTTCTGCTCCTTCCCCACTTGAGCCATTCTGCTTCTCCTCCTCTGTACCTCCTCTTCAGCCTACCCTTCGTCTCCTCCTGTTCCTCCTCCTCTGTACCTACTCCTTCTGCTCCTATCCTCCTGCTGTTCCACCTCCTCTGTAACTACTCTGGTGCTATTCCTTCGGCTCCACCTCCTCTTCAGCCTACCCTGCGTCTCCTCCTGTTCCTCCTCCTCTGTACCTACTCCTTCTGCTCCTATCCTCCTGTTCCACCTCCTCTGTACCTACTCTGCTTCTCCCCGTTCCTCCTCCTCTATATCTCCTCTGCTGTACGTCCTCTGCTTCTCCCCGTTCCTCCTCCTCTGTACCTACTCTGGTCCTACTCCTTCTGCTCCTCCTCCTTTGTACCTCCTCTGCCTCTCCTCCTCTGTACCTACTCCTTCTACTCCTCCTCCTTTGTACCTCCTCTGCCTCTCCTCCTCTGTACCTACTCTGGTCCTACTCCTTCTGCTCCTCCTCCTTTGTACCTCCTCTGCCTCTACTCCTCTGTACCTACTCTGGTCTTACTCCTTCTGCTCCTCCTCCTTTGTACCTACTCTGGTCTTACTCCTTCTGCTCCTCCTCCTTTGTACCTCATCTGCCTCTACTCCTCTGTACCTACTCCTTCTGCTCCTCCTCTGTATCTCCTCCTGTTCCTCCTCCTCTGTACCTACTCTGGCCCTACTCCTTCTGCTCCTCCTGTTCCTCCTCCTCTGTACCTACTCTGGTCTTACTCCTTCTGCTCCTCCTTTGTACCTTCTCTGCTTCTCCTCCTGATCCACCTCCTCTGCCCCCCCCCCCCCCCTCCTCTGTACCTCCTCCTTCAACTGATTGGATCATATTGTTATTTCATCCACTGTAAATCCCATGGCACCGAAACACGCATTGATTTTAAAGTTATTTATTAATAGTAGTTTTTTAATTTCCTCTTAATCTGTGACTATGGCAAGAGTGGGTAAGATAAAAGAAAACATCACCAAAGAGAAAAGTACTTCAGAAAGTACTTCAATAGGATCGCTCAGGGCGTGGCGGGAATGTGCAAACTGTTGAAAAGTCATCAATGAGTGACTTGTTGTACAGTCTGACAGCCTCATCTCTGTCATGGTCAGGGACGGGACTCGTGCTTTAGAGCCCAGAGTCAGAACTAAACATGGGGAGGCTGCATTTCAGATTTGTGCTGCTAAAATCTAGAATAATCTTCCTGAAAATGAGAGACAGGCTTCTTCTCTGACAATGTTTAAATCCAGGTTTTAAAAAAGGTCTGTTTAGCTGCAACAACTGAGGGATTTTAGAGTCAAACTTCCTTCTGTTCGACTGGGGATTACAGGAGAACAAAAGTAGCTAGAAACCAACTTATTTTTGCTGATGAAAGTAGACAGTGCAGTCTTTTAGAATCTGGTTTTATATTTCACATCGTCATTGCGCACAATATTCTGTGGGTCTTGCAAATCAGTGAAATCATCAAAAACGGCTGGCAGTCAATGAGTTAATGTACTGTGATTATTTACGTAAATTAGGAGATAGAGTTTCCTCAGTGGTATTTTGCTTTTGTACTTATGATCTAACTTACACATTAACTCACTGATTTACTACATTCGTTACAATTATCCCCATTACATGACAGTTTATCACCTGGTTTGATAAATGAGTTCTTAAGCGCATCACTCAGGTCTTTTATCAACTATGGAAGCCCTCCAGGGACACGCACACACATATTTTGATGGCACTTGGCTTCTCCAGAGACCCTCCAATTTGTACTAAATAAAAACTACAGCAATTTGCAAATCACTTTTCTGGCATGGCGCCCACGGAAGCCCTGATCTGGCAACAATAGGAAATTCAGCTTCCAACCGTCAGCTCACAATTAAGCACGAGCCGATCTGACGCCGCTCGCTTTGACAGCTACGGCTTTTGACCGCGACTCAGACGTGAGGAGAAGAGGATCGAGATAATGTCGACGAACGATATATAAATAGTTAAGACATTTGACTTTTACGACCTGTTTTCTTTGGCAGACGGCGCGGTGTCATTAGTGAAAAGCACATATACAATGAGAGTGAAGCTGGTTAAACAGGGGACAAGTCCAGACCGGTGATCTGGCAACACAGCGAAACCTCAACAGCAAGTGCATGGATGTGTTTGGCTGGGAATACAGTTATAACACAATAAGGCCTGGTAAAGATTTAATTGTATGGCACAGTTCATACACAAGTGCAGAACAAGTCATTAAAATCATGAATAACCAGAGTACATTAAAAACCGGTGAAGATACAGTCCCTCAGTTGTAGCAGCGCTGAACAGAACCTAGAGTAGAAGCCTGTCTCACATTTTCAGGAAGACTGTGCCAAATTTTAGCTGCGTGAATCTGAAATGCTGCCTCCCCATGTTTAGTCCTGACTCTGGGACCAGCAGGAGACCAGTCCCTGTGCTCCTCAGAGTCCCAGCAGTAGACCAATCCCTGTGCTCCTCAGAGTCCCAGCAGTAGACCAATCCCTGTGCTCCTCAGAGTCCCAGCAGTAGACCAATCCCTGTGCTCCTCAGAGTCCCAGCAGGAGACCAGTCCCTGTGCTCCTCCGAGTCCCAGCAGTAGACCAATCCCTGTGCTCCTCCGAGTCCCTGCAGGAGACCAGTCCCTGTGCTCCTCCGAGTCCCAGCAGGAGACCAGTCCCTGTGCTCCTCCGAGTCCCAGCAGTAGACCAATCCCTGTGCTCCTCCGAGTCCCAGCAGGAGACCAGTCCCTGTGCTCCTCCGAGTCCCAGCAGTAGACCAATCCCTGTGCTCCTCCGAGTCCCAGCAGGAGACCAGTCCCTGTGCTCCTCCGAGTCCCAGCAGTAGACCAATCCCTGTGCTCCTTCGAGTCCCAGCAGGAGACCAGTCCCTGTGCTCCTCCGAGTCCCAGCAGTAGACCAATCCCTGTGCTCCTCAGAGTCCCAGCAGGAGACCAGTCCCTGTGCTCCTCCGAGTCCCAGCAGTAGACCAATCCCTGTGCTCCTCCGAGTCCCAGCAGGAGACCAGTCCCTGTGCTCCTCCGAGTCCCAGCAGGAGACCAGTCCCTGTGCTCCTCCGAGTCCCAGCAGTAGACCAATCCCTGTGCTCCTCCGAGTCCCAGCAGGAGACCAGTCCCTGTGCTCCTCCGAGTCCCAGCAGTAGACCAATCCCTGTGTTCCTCCGAGTCCCAGCAGTAGACCAGTCCCTGTGCTCCTCCGAGTCCCAGCAGTAGACCAGTCCCTGTGCTCCTCAGAGTCCCAGCAGTAGACCAATCCCTGTGCTCCTCCGAGTCCCAGCAGTAGACCAATCCCTGTGCTCCTCAGAGTCCCAGCAGTAGACCAATCCCTGTGCTCCTCAGAGTCCCAGCAGTAGACCAATCCCTGTGCTCCTCAGAGTCCCAGCAGTAGACCAGTCCCTGTGCTCCTCAGAGTCCCAGCAGTAGACCAATCCCTGTGCTCCTCAGAGTCCCAGCAGCAGGCAAGTCCCAGTTACCTACAATGCCTTTAGAAACAAATAAACAATAGAAGGAATAACGAGTTCTGCCTTAACTCAGTCTCTCCGACTCTGGGTGGGCATTCACACATTTTTCATTCGCTCTTAACTTTGGACTGCAGGTCCTTCTGAAGCGGCTGCCGTTCACTGATGGATCCTTTTGTGATCCTTTTGGACATCAGACTGAGAAAAGCAGGGGCCGGTTCAAGGGCAGGTCGGCAGTTTGAGGCGCCATCATTCCTCACGCGTCTCGTTCTCCGGGACGTCGGCCCCTCCTCCATCATCACTGATCATTCCACCCGTGTCCTTAAAGCGTGTCCTTAAAGCGTGTCCTTATTAGACTGGACACACGGGACACTTTCTCTCCCGTACGCTAAAGTTACAGATTTTATATTTAACTAATGCTTCTTAGTCCTTGTGTTCTGTAACTGGTGATGCAACACTGACATTTCCCCACTTTGGGACCAATTCAATAAGTAAGTAAGTGAGTAGGGTTTAAATATATAGCGCATTTCACAGGCCAAGGTCACCCAAAGCACTGTACAATGTTCAGAGTTCAGATAGTTTACCATTCTCTCCACACAGTGATGACAGAAGCGAGTCGCAGAACACACTGGACCATCAAAGCCTCCGACCAAACACCCTCCATTCACTCAAACACTCATTACTTTCAAACCTATTGTACATGTTTTTAATCGTAGGGGAAACCGGAGCACCCGGAGAAAACCTACGCAGACACAGATAGAACAAGTAAATTCCACTCAGAAAGGCCCTGTTCCGACCTGGATCTGAACCCAGGACCTTCTTGCTGAGAAGCGAGAGTGCTAACCACTCAGCCACTTGCCACGATAAAGGATCTCTTAATTTTAATCTTAATCAACAGGGATGAGATCGTGGACTATGGCGGCACGGTGGCTGAGTATGAATCCCAGTCAGAACAGGGTCTTTCTGAGTTTGCATGTTCTCCCCGTGCCTGCGTAGGTCTCCTCCAGCTGCTCCAGTTTCCCCTACCACTAAAAATATGCACAATATGTAAAATCCTCCAGCTCTGGTCCTGACCAAGCCGAGTATCAACATCTGGAGATGGGTTCCCGGGCGCTGTTACTACGGCGACCACTGCTCCTGATGTAAGCCTTAGTGGCATCAGGATCTGGGTCAAATGCAGAGGATGAATTACCCTATGGAGATTAATAAAGTGGACCTTTATCTTTATGATCGAGTGAGATTCAATTCCAATGTATTTTGAGATGATAATAAAAAAAGTGTTTTGTGTGGTCCATTTTTTTCCCTGAGGATACATCTCTCTCTAAAATCTGATCTTGGGAGCGGTGCTTTTCAACCTTTATCACAGAAAATTGCATAAATAATTCATGTTGTTTGTTCCAACAGATAGAGTCTTGTATCTGTATCTCATTAGGAGTTATGCCATCTTTTGCAGAACTTTTTTGCACACACACCAACCTTAACACTGACACTATTTGGTGCTTTGGGCTGAGATCTGATTGGCTGAGTCCTAAATTTTTGACTTTTCTGAAAAAAAATCTGATCTAAAGATTTGACAGAGGCCAGAAATACTTGTGAAAACCAGAGATGAAACCAAATTGTGAAACCTTGGAACTATTAGATGGCTTCATTTACAAAGTTCAATGTTTCTGGTTTGAAATTACATTAGCAAATATAAATAGATTTCTGTTTTAAATCGATCCTGTATCACACGTACTATACCAAACCTTCAAACCACAAAGAAATAAGTAAAATCCATCTGTCTAGGTCCCAAAACTTTCTCCAGAGGTATGTAAACTTATGCTGTATAGTACTAACATGAGCTATATATATCTATACATCCTCTTGTTGTCTGTGCTTTCTGTATTGTGCAAAATGTTACGATTTTGTATGGCTCAAAATAAAGTATCCAATCAATCAAACTAAGATTGTTGAACGACATTTATGGACTTTGGTCACTGCCCTTTAGGACCAATGGCTCTGTGTGTTATTATCATTTCTTGTGTTTCAACCGTTTGATTCTCTGATCTGTGTTGGCCGATCGACATCTTTGTAAAGTCCTGTGAGATAACTACTGTGGTGATTTATACAAGGAAATGCTTTACAAAAAGAAATTGAATTGTTTGGAATTGAAATTGAGTTGGACATCTTTACATAGCCCCAATATTTGTGTTCTGAAAGTTCGGTACCCCCGGCTTTAACATGAAAGTATAAACCTCTATTCTTGGGTTTCATTAAACTGGCCAGTAGGGGGCGAATGAGCAGAGACAACTCAGTTTTGCTCCCCTTGAAAACCATGTAAAGTCTGTTTTGGAGTCAAAGGCTCTTCTCCTGTGCGGTGTACGGTTCTTGTAACAGTCTTAAATCGGTGACACTCAATTCTACGGCAGTACTAAAAAATATTTCTCAAAAGAGTCTTGATTTCGGCCATTTTTGGGAACAAAAAGAGAAGAAATTGCTGCGTTTCATTGGGGTGGCCTGCAGGGGGCGCTTATCTGGGAAAGCCTTGATCCACCTCGCCCGCCTCATTCCAGTGATTTTTCCAAATGTCCTCCTTTTTATGAGACCACAGTTGGAACATGAACAAACTCTTTCTCTCTATTTGTGCGGTTGCTACAAACGTACACCGCACAAAAAGATGACAGCGCTTCTTCTTCTACTATATCTCCGTGTATAAACCCGGCAGACTGCACCGCCAGGATACGTCACGTCCTGTCCTACGTTTGTTATTCGCACCACTGCCCTGACGTCATATGAAACCCAAGTATTTGTATATAACTGAACTTGACTTGAGTTCCATGGATTGGACACACAAAGCACCACAAAACGTACAAGGAAACTTCCTGTGCGATTGTTTTACCGTAGTACAACATCACTCCTTTGTGGGGAGAGAAATGTGCTTTAGGCGTCGCACTGGAAACAGGATCCGTGGGGTTTGTGCTAAAGAGGCAAAAACGACTTCATCCCACATAAACACTGTTCTTTGATCGTTCACTTTGCCTCCAGTGCAAACAACCTCCAGCAATTTAACACACTGCAAAAAAAAAAAAAGGCTTCTCTGGATATTGTGTGAAAGACCCAGACCCTTTTGTGAGGTTATTAAAGCTTTATGATTGAGAATAAGGCATGCATCACAACCACTATACACATGCTAGGCTGCGCTAACGAATGATTGAATGATTATAGCTTCAATATTCATGGTATTCCTATATGTTTAGCTTGGTTCAAGGTTGTCAACAAATTGCCGAATCTTACAATCCCTTGTTTTCTTTAACGACGCATAAACAGCTGTTTCTTTCAAAGGCAAATGTCTTGTAATCAGTGAAAGGTCTGAACTCTGCGTGAAATGGAGATTTTTCATTGCGAGTTTTTCATGTTTTCATTTGCATTCTCAGAGATAAGGCAAAAACAGACTCAAGTCTCTAGGGGTTCCTCCATCCATTTTCTTCTGCTTTATCTGTTGCCAGGTAGCAGCAGTCTAAGCAGAGATACCCAGACTTCCCCATCCGCACACACCAGCTCATCAAGGGAAGTCCTGAGGCGTTCCCAGGCCAGTTATGAAAGACCCAGTCCCTAAAACATGTCCTGGGTCCTCCCCTGGGTCCTCCCCTGGGTCCTATCCCTGGGTCCTCTCCTGGGACCTCCACTGGGTCTTCCCCTGGTCTCATCCCCTGGGACCTCCACTGGTTCTTCCCCTGGTCTCCTCCCAATAGTATGCCCTGAAACCATTGGCTTCTATTGACCTCCACTAGCTCCTGTGGACATGGGAAAGCAGCAGCTCTACTCCGAGCTCCTCACCCTTTTTCAGAGGGAGCGCCCGGGCACTCTGCAGAAGACACTAATTTTGTCTGCGATACAAAGCGTGTATGTAAACAACTGTACATGTATATGATTGGAGAATACAGACATTTTCTTAAAATTGCGCACACAAATATTGGCAAAACGGTGAGGCCGCGAAAGATGAACCGTGTTGTTGCCAGGAGACCAACCGTACATCCACCATATAAATATTTGATATAAGTACATAATGTAATTTCAAACTCTGCCTCCAGAGGGAGATGTTTTAGGAATGCCCATGTTCTGTTTTATCCATTACATATCGTTTTTCCTTATGTTTTCCACTTAATGCATAATTCAAGATTCTAAAACATGACATTTTAAAGTAATTATTTATGTTTATGGGCCAAAATAAACAGAAAAAAAGCACAGCTAGTTTATCCGAGCGATGACCTCAAACGCCAACAGCTTGTTTGTTTGTAGCTTTATCGACTCCCCCGGTCTTTCCCAAAACGCTTTCATCCCGACTGTGGTTCAAAGGGTTTAGTTAAATGTATTTTTCTTCCAGTTAAATATCGTGACACGGTGCAGCCACAGGGGAGCGGAGAGGGATCCACTCAGGTTGAAGCAAAGTTGAGGCGGTGATGGACCATGAAGGAGAAGAACTTCAGCACAAGATAAAACACACGCTTCGGTTTCCATCTTGTGCTGAACCAGGTTTGACGGAACTATGAAGATCTTTGAGAAGCGGCGAGAGATGATTGGAAGGTTTATGTGCAGAGCAAAAATTATGGCTCAAGATGAAGTACTAAGTTTAAATCATAGACTGTATATTGGTGGACGTATCTGTCCCTCTAGCTCAGGGGTATCAAACTCATTTTGTATGGGGGCCAAACGTTTTTTTTTTACATTTTAATTTACATTTTCATCATTGGACAAATTAACTGTATTTAACATAAGTTTGGATATTATTTTCTAAAAGGTTTGGATTCAACCTATCCTGTCTCTATGAACCAATGATAGGAGTCATTGGTTCATAGGGACAGTATGACCAACGTCTATAAATGTTGTCATAAATATGTCACTGAGAAACCTTGTTTTGTAGATCCATGTATTACTTTCAACTTACGATGAAACTAATACAAGACAGATAGAAGTTTCAGAACAATATGATTCTAATTTTCCAAGTGTCAACATGGATAGAAGGGTGACAGTGGCTCAGTAGGTAGAGCATTGGCCTTTGGGTCTGAAGGTCGTGGGACCTACTTCACAACTCTCACTGATGATTGCTGTCGTTGTGTCCTTGGGCAAGACACTCAACCCCACTTTGCCTGAAGCCCCCGCTGAAAGATCAAGGCTCCTGTGGACTCACCACCTGCAGGAGGATCAGTGAGGGGCTGGTGCTCTGTGGACTGGGGGGCATCTCTGACTGACACCCCGACCCAGAAATGGATTAAGGGGAGGAAAATGGATGGAATGGAGACTTGAATTTAGCTTGAGA